GCTGTGTGGTGCTCAGTTGCCAGCTGAGGTTAAACCACAACAACTTATTAATTTAACTTTTTATTATTGTTTATAATGGTAACATATCAAATAGAAATCAACCCTAGAATTCATTTCAACAAAAGGATTACAGTTTCATACCTATGGTGTCTTTGAAACCCAAGACAGTTCCTTGATCTAAGTCCTTAATAGATGTAGGCCAAAAGTAGAATATAGTGGCATATGCTAAATCTGCTAAAGGATGACCAGCAGTTGAAAGTTCCCAGTCCAACACTGCCAAAACACGAGCCTTAAATAAAAATAAAAACCTCAAGTGAATGCTAGAAGATAAATTCTCTCCATCCACAAATGCACAACCCACTTAATATCCAGCAGCTTTATTCAGTTACTATGTGTTTAAAATTAAAAACATGCACTGTACCTGTCTACAGCAAAAACAGTTCTTTTTAGCACTATGTAGGGATCTGCAGAAAATTAAAATTCACATAGTGGCAGAAAACCAGGCATTTTTACAATGAAAATCTGTTTTAAATCCTACATTTTTGAGTAGTGTACTTCCTGTCAGAAACTTCTAAACTCTTCTAGTTAAAATATGATTGAATTAAAATACCCTAAAGAACAGTAGTATTGACAGTTGGGTTTTTTTTGTTTCCAGTCCTGTTGCACAGATACGGTTGCACAGTCCTTTTGCACAGATACTCATGGACAGATCATGCACTAAAAAACGTAATTTATCACAATATTATGCATAGATTAAGACTTACATGGGGAACTGAATTTCGTAAACAGGACAGTCAATCACTGTCCAGATAGTGACATGAGCCTCTGCTGCAAGCATCCTTGCAATGGTGTCTTCAGCTGGATAGGCTGAGACTCCCCAGACTGTCATTCTGATGAATTCTTATAATCCAGCTGGCCTGTCATCATGAACTCTAGCCTACTCATGATCCATGGCTACTTGAACTATGTGCAAAAGACTTTCCTACGTGATCATTCCTGCATATACAGGAACAGTTTCTACAGATTATTTAAAATTACCTATGTACACTTTGGTCAATTCTTTCAACTACATCAGGAACAGCTTGGAGAGTGCCTGAGTCTGCCAGATACTCTGCTCAGGGCGTCAATCAGGACATTTAAGCCTACAACCATGGCTACTTGAACTATGTGCAAAAGACTTTCCTACGTGATCATTCCTGCATATACAGGAACAGTTTCTACAGATTATTTAAAATTACCTATGTACACTTTGGTCAATTCTTTCAACTACATCAGGAACAGCTTGGAGAGTGCCTGAGTCTGCCAGATACTCTGCTCAGGGCGTCAATCAGGACATTTAAGTCTACAGTGTCTATCAACTGATCCATGCACAACAATGGGAATCTCTGGGATCTGTTGCTTTGTTGTGAAGCAGGCATTGCAGAGTCTTGGTCACAAATCCCAGGCATATCTTCTGGTCACAACACAGCAAATAGCATGGAAAAATAATGAAAATGCAATTGTGTCGACAGATAGGTAACACACATTTATTGCCACAAACTAGAAAAAAATCTCTTCCTTTTCCCTAAAGATGAATGAGGAACTTTCAGAGTCTCTGTGATCTACGTGTGCTCCATAACTAAGCAGCTTTGGCAGATTTTTCTTTGCTTCCACTAGTATCACATATCACGCATTCAGATCCTATTCCAAAAGACATTGCTGTTAATTGAAGCCATACCACAGATTTCAACAGGCTCTGGATGAGATGCTTATGTAGTTTAATGAAGTGAGCCTTCAGTATGTCCTTAAGCTGCACTGAATTCAATAGGATTTATGCATATAAAATGTTTTGTTCCTGAACTGTGAAGTAGGGACTAGAGCTAATGAATAAATTGAGTAACCAGCTCCTGCAATGAAAACCAGGACTGTATTAGGTACCTAAACACCATACAGAGAATAGAGAAGAGTTAAGTTCTCTACTGTTCCCTTCAAAGATGTATCATGCACTAAAACACCCACGTAAGTGTCCCATTACATGGTAGGAGTACAAACAAATGGAGGACCAAAACCTACTAAACATGTACAAATATGTTTCGAATACCTCTGTTGGGTGGAAGATGATCTTATCAATTCTAAAGTCCCCATGAATCAGGCTTTCTTCATTATCATCAGGTGGCAAGTTGTTTGCTAACCACCCAGCCAGCTTGTTCATGGCAGGAATATCTGTATGAGCAGCTGCATCATACTGTCTTTTCCAAGTTGATACCTAAAGAAATACAAACACTTCAACAGATTTTCCAACTGGTTCACAAGTTTTTCAAGAGCACAAAATTCTGAAGCACATGCTTCTGGGCTTTGACTATTACCATGTTACCTGTAAATTCAGTAAAACCCAGTACCTTTGCATTTGCAAATGTGAACTGTGAGAGCAAAAGATGCAATGAAGACTATTTTCTATTTCAATCCCATTTACATAGCCCAAATCTAATATTATTCCAAAAGCAAATGAGTATCATTCCCTGAGTATAGCATTACAGAACTGATCTGAATGTAGTAGTAACTTTATACTGTGCACAAAAAATTGAACTAAGTGAAGGTGTTTAATAGCTAAAATGTGATGGTTACTTTTACAAGTCATTAATAATTAACAATTTAGCTTGCAAATCAAATAAATCTTCAAAGACCTGACAAAACAAGATAATTTTTTTAAGAGCTGTACTTGTCTTCTGCAGTATCCTGGTCCTCTACCATATCCTTGGAGACCCAATGACTGCAAATCAAAGGAGTGCAACAGGGCCAAAGTTCTATCATTGCAATGTACAAAGCAGAACGCTCTGCTGGGCCCACTTCAGGTCTTGGAAGATGCAACCCTAGAAACATCCTAAATCAGGTATTTGGTGGGATGTATGCATCAGATGAAGAGAAGTAAAGCTATACATTTCAGGAGCAAAAACAAATGCAGTGAACCAACACTCCCTATGCAATCAAAAATTCCTTCCTCATTTATTTTATTCCTTGCCCAGGACAGACGAAGGGATTCACAGTAATCTCAGATCGTTAGTATACAGGATATCTATTGTAAGGCAATTAAAATAATAGATATATTCAGTAGATGAAAGTCTGGAATGGGTTTGGTGTCAATGATCAATGAAGACTTTGGGGGGGGGGGGGTTGCGGGGGGGGGGGGGGGGGGGTTGCAGGGGGGAGAGGAGGGGAATGGGGTTGTACGGCGGGGGGTTGCAGGGGGGAGAGGAGGGGAATGGGTGGGTTGTACGGACAAAGAGGCAAACAATCCAAAGGAATTCACTTGCATTCTCCCTAAAAGCAGTTTAATACATTTAGAAAATGGGTGTGGTTTTCCATTTTCTCCTTTAATTTTGGCCCTGAGAGTAACAGATTGGAAAAGAAAAAACAGACTCTTCTCTCCCCTAAGTTCCTCAATTTCACTGGTTCGCATGATGCCTTTAGTATATTTACACAGCTAAAGCATCAATAGAACTTTTTTGCTGAAAGACTCCGCATAACAAATCTAGAAATCAGGTTCTGTATTGTGTAATAGTTTATTCAACACAATAAATGCATGATTGTTTGCTAAATACACAATGTATTTATTAAAAACAGTGCACTGCTGTCCATCTTAGAATGGACAGACTGTAAATTTACATCCTTAGAAATGTAAATATATCAGTAGCAAGGTTTCTTATTAAGGAATCACTTTGTTCTAGTCAAAACCAGAAAAATTCTCCATCTTTAATGTAAGAAAATTCTTTCAAATTCTTCATAGCTCTTACATTTTATTACTCTTGATTCATGGTTTTTGTAGGAAGGTTACTGGAATTGGCCCACAAACTCTTACATTTCTAATTTCCCAGAGAACCTGATGATAAAGAAGGATGCAATGAAAGGGGAGGCCTGAACTCAAATCCTCCTCCCACAGTAAAAAAAAAGACATGATACAGCAGACTTACACTCAGAATCACCAAAATCTAACAGAAACAGTATCAACTCAGCTACAGCACCCCCAGAGTGATGGACCACAGACTGAGCTATGCCATGTTCTTTCTGAACAGTGCATGAGCTGGAATTGAGCTGGAATCCTGCTTGGTTTTCAAGAAAAGGTGATTGTATGTAGATTCCTATCTTCAGTACTAAACGGGTCCCAGGATGTTCGAAGATTCAGTATAACTTTATAGCCTGATTGTTCTCCCCATGGCTTGTGTATGCTTTTCACAGAAGCAATACTGCCTCATTTCAAGACATCCTTCTGAAAGCTCAAACAAGAACAAGAGGTTAAATACTGAGCTGAAAATTTCAACAAAGTGGGAAATAAGTCCTGGAGAAGCTGAAATCAGTGAGAATCTCTGATTGCTAGCATTTCTTAAAAATATCAGAGAATTATTTATGTTTATATCACAAAACTTAGTAAATGCTGGATAAGGCTCTAACAGAAAGGTTTTAGACAATTTAAAAGCAGCTTGTAGTAGGGAGAAGAAAAAAACCTCTCACATTGGAGGACCAACCTGCACGTGCTGCATTACATAAAATTCTGTTCCAATGATAGAAGCATCACTGCAATACAACAGGGGCTCAGGCACTGGAAATCCAGCTGAAAATAAAGGCTTTCTGCACACGATATTCTCTATCGACCTGAAGACACAGAAATTTAGGTTTAATGAAAAGCTCCCAAACGTAAATTACTACAGTGAATGACAATGTATCCTCTTAAATATTTAGTTAATGTGTATAGCACAGAAAATTGGAAATGATCCAGCAATTCACTGCATTTCTGGACACATTCAACAATGTGCAGCACCATCATGCATAGGACTTAGCCACCTGCAATACAAAGTGTTTGGAGCTGAAGAATAATGTTACTTACCTTGTGAGCTCTAGGTAAAAGGGGGCCATGGGGCTTCTTCCTGAGCACATAAGTCTGCCCACCATTCTGAAGATAAAAGTTGGATTTGACTGGCCTGAGCTATAAAGATTATAATTACTTACGAATTCAAGTACTTAACAAATTTGCAAATTTTTAACAGAAATGATGCGAAATGCACTGTGACTTGGCCTGAACAAAATGGCAAGACAGAGGAAAGGGTTATTCTCATGAGGTTTTTTTTTATTTAAAATATAGTCTTACACAGATGCAAATGACAGCTTACAAAATCGGAAGTCAGAGTTTCTATTTTTACCTATGAGAAAGATGTCTCACTGTGGAGAGGTCACAGATACCCAATTTGTTCTCCTGTGAAATGGAGGCAGCATTTACCTCTCCTCCCTAAACAGATTATCATTAATGTTTTCAAGGTATGCAGTAGATACTAACTTTAAAGCTTTCCGATTTGGAGGAAATTAAACAGAGCAGAATTCACACTAGCCTATAATTGTATTTGTCCTTTGGCAAGCTGTATTTTGAACAATGTAAGCATAAAGAAAGCTCTCCAAATAACTGATGATTCTAGTACCAAGCCCCACTGTATGCTAGCCTGATCATCACATACATATGCTATGCTTAAGGGACTGCCTACAGTAACTGTATTTTGAAGAAAGAATGTTGCAGTGACGAAGAATCATAGAAATTAGACATTTCAATCACACACATGTGTAAAAGAGAAGGACAACCTAGTTAAACCCTTCATAACATCTTGTCCATCGTATCCCCATCAAGCTCATTGATCCTTATTTTCCTCAAGGCTCTGTGCTAATCTACATGCCTTCCTCTCCTCATTCTAGATGATTTTTAAGACGCATTCTGACCTAGGCCAGTAAAAGATTAGACAATTATTGGAAAATCAAACTCAAGTGAACTTTTGCCCTCGGGCTCCCCATGACATTTCCATTCTCCCTGGGGCAGTTAGGGCATAGTCTGTAATATAGTTTAACAAGTATATTGCACAGACAAATACTCTGCCTGGCACAACAGAGATTTTAGATTGGTTGAAGCCTTGAAGTGCAACTGCAAGACAAACAAAGTAGTAAAAACATAAATACTGGCAATATTTTAGCAGATTTTACTATTAGCTACTCTCCTGAGGCCCCTCCTAAAGTCTCCTCAATTGAAGTACATACAAGGATTAGAGTACAGATAAGGATTCAATGGATGTTTTATATTTGCATCAGAAGACAATGAAAAATTGTTTACTGTTTCTTAGTGATAGCTGCAGATAAAGCAGTCGAGGTCATGTTTACAAAGGAATCAATAGGTATTTTTAGAATAACTTAACTTCTAATAGTTAGCTCCTGATTTGAAGTCACACAGCCACGCCACTAATTTGCTGAATGCAAGTGAACTAGATGTTCTGTGGAACAGCAGCTTTGGGGCCTGGGTGTAGCACCTCACTGGCGCAATGCATTGCTCTCAGGGCATTAATGGGAATCTCAGCATAGTGTTACGCTGTTCTCATGTATTTGCTTACCTGGCAATAGCCTAAGGCTTTTAAAATTGATTTCTTAAGCCATGTATGTGCTTCTGAACACTATTATTTGCTGTGCAATTAAAGAGCCATCAGATGAACTGAGATTTATGAGCAGGCAATAAAACAGTTGTGCACGTACTCCAACAGAGCGCACCACGGAGGGCCAAATACATGTTTTTTCTGAGGACAGCGGCAAGTCCACCCAACACATCGCCTGCCTGCAGTCGGCCAACTGCGGCCACAGGGTCTGCCTGTGCCAAAGGTCACCTTCGCCGCCACCGCGAACTTTGACTTCTCCAGCTGTAGGAGCCGTTACCTTGATGCCTGCTGTCCGCCATCACCAGGGCAAAGGGCCCTAACTCTGCCCACCTTTCCTGCCGGGCAGCAAGCAAAGCCGCGGCCCCTCTCCTCGCCCCACAGAGGCACGATTCGGGCCCACGCTCTGGCTCCGCGCCTCAGGGTGCCCCACGGGCGAGGGCCCATGTCGACGACC